ATTGTGAAATCATGTTCTTTAAAAAAGCAAAAAGTCATTCGAAACTCAGAAAATTCCACATGAGAACCAGACTATAGAATACGCAAGATAATGTTCGTAAACTCTTCTGGATCCTTTTTTTCGGTAATGGAGGAACCTTTCGAACGAGAACAAATACTGCTTTTCACTAATACTATTTTTCAATATCGATCTTCAATATTAATTATTTCTGCATCTAACACTTTATGTATTAGTAAACGCTCGAGAGAACTACAAAATAAATTTACGTATTTCAACACGTCAGGGTAAGCAGATAGGTCGTGGTTTCAAAAAACCACGTGTTCGTGCTTTGTGTCCATTCGATCGTAAACAACGCTTTCGTCCTTAATGGGGGCGGGGAGGGCGGGACACGCAAGCACTGGCTGAGACAAAGATATTCGTAGTGTCACGACCAGGCAATTTATGCAAGTGAAAAATCTAAGACAGTCCTTCCTTCAAAAAGCAAACTCCAGTGATAGGATGCTACAGTTATGAAGATAGATCAAAGAGTCTTCTAAAACCCAGCATAATGTACGATCTTTCCTCGAAGATCGTCGCCAACAAACAACTAGAAAGATGGATTAAAGTTTTCCACGGCTGTTATAGAAACATTAGAAAATACTGAAATAAATCTGCAGGCTTCATTGGCTTACCTCCAAATTGGTAAACTGTTTGCGGAAACAGAAGTCTTCATAATTACGTTTCAAGATCACGTAATCGCAACGAGAGCTCACTGCAAGTAAATCGTGCATGAAAACATACAAAACGCTAACTGCAGAATGTGTGACCAAAAAGAGGAGGGGATCGATAACATAATACTATGGATGCCCCGTTTTAGCGCCAAAACAAGTTCTTAACAAAATAATTCACCAGGCTCTCAGGCAAACGTATTTTAGCGATGAGGGGCAGGCGCCATTAAGAGAAGACGAGAACTGCAAGGCCAATAATAACAGATAAACTAATCCCGAACAACTTTCCAGATATTGTACTGTCAAAGAAACCCTTACGTCATCGATATCGCAGTCACTCTACCAGCTAATCCGAAGAAAACGCACATGGACAAACATTTACAAATACATGCCATTGGCAGATGAAATCAAATCTGGTATGACGAACGTCATAGTGGGGCCGACAGGTTATTGGCCCTACAGGTGAAATTCCCAACACAGTGAGCAAACAGTACTGACATCTTAGACTTAAACCGTGATGTGTATATACTCATTCCGCAATCCATTGCGAAGTCCGTGATGCTGAGCACCTGTTGTATTGTCCGAAGAATACTGGGAGCGTAGATGGGAAAGATGTCATACCGAAATCGTACCTCCTTTGACTAAACAGATCCTGAGTAAGATGTTTGCCTCCATTGGAGTGAAATAGAGATGGAAATGGTAATAATAATAATTATAATAATAATTATTATTAATAATAATTATAATAATTAGGGAGAATAGCGCCAGGTAATTCCTGACGGTTGGCATTACGCCCTGAGGAAGATCGCAGAATGGTGACCGAAACGTCGTTACCTTCGCCATGGACGCGGCGTCACCCGGACAGCCAAGTAAATAATATTCAAAAGTTCATCAGAAATTTCTTTGTTTATTTATCTAATAAATAAAACAGTTGTTTGACAATTTAAATTACTATTGAAATAGCTAATTAGCTTTTCCTTTATGAAGCTCCAAAGTGAACATATACATAAGTAAAACTTACATACGCAGATGTTCATAAACATAAATATAAATAAATTACTTAAAAAAGATTTTGCATAAAATATAATGAATAAAATGGAAAATTAATTTAGCCATTCTCACAGATCAAAATGCATAATATTTCCCTTAGAAATGTACTGACTTCTAAAGTTCCACTGACCGTCGAATTCTCTATTCCCCCTCTACGAATTAACGGAATTCCCACCGCGCGACCTACGCGGAGCGGAGAGGGCACGTAGCGGGTCTTCTTCCCTCTCTTAACGGCTCGCTCAGAAACTCCGAAGCTCGGACAAGTTACGAAGTGGCCTGTCCTGAGAGCTATGCACTTACAGCGGACACTGGCGCCATGAAAATAATCTACATATTACTAAATATTGAAAAAAGGTTTTGCCTTGCTTTGTGAAAACGCGTGGGGGAATGGCGTGGGCGTTGAATACGTCTGTGAAGAATTGTAGTAGCCGCGAGCCGCACCTCTTCTGCAATTGCACTTCTTCTGACTTCGTTTTTTTTTTCAATTTCTGCTTCGTGTTGGCATTCATGTTTTGCGCTCACACGAAAATGAAGATCAGGAATCCAGCAGTACGTAGAAATGCCTCCTCAGACACGAGTCTTCAGGAACTGATGTGTTTCGGAATTGTGGTCGCAAATTAGTTCCAACTATATTTTAAATTTAGATTTATTCAGTCAAAAAACAGTAAAAACTGTATGTGACGTAAGGGGGAGAAGATTATCTGCGCACGTTTTCGTGAGTTCCAGAATACCTTCTCGTCATTTAACTATAAATAGTTGAAAGATGAGTAAAAATTCAACATAAATAAATAAAAATAAATTTTATTTTTTTAACGTAATACCATTTCCTCCATCATTAGATTAGGTGGTTGGAATTATGACATACTAAATATAGAATTGAAAGAGTATATAAAACCGAGAAAAAAAAGAAAAAAGAAAAAGCTGTGGCAGAAGGACGTAGTGAGAGTGTGATGCCTTCCACGTGCTTAAATCTTTCACATAAATTCCATACATTTTCTTCTCCAAATCCACGAATTACTTATTACAAGGAACAATACAATAGATTAAAAAATTATCATGTATTTAGAGCCTTTCTGGTGTGGTTTATATAATAGATTGAAATTAATTCCAGGTCTACCGACTCCTCTGTTAACGAAAGCGTCCTGTTCTTTCGCAGCGCGATGGAAAAATTCACACTTGCCATTTGCATGCTCCGGTCGCCTGGTGTCAGTCTTTCTTACCCTTGCTAAGCAAATGCAAATTAATGTCCTTGTTTCATAGTCTTAGTGTTCATTTGCAATAGGAGGGTAGGAACTTCGGTAAGGTGCACTGCCCATGATAATGCAATGACTGGTTGGAAGCTTCTCCAAATCTAAGCAAATGAAATACAATGCGTAAAATATAAATAATGGCAATCGTGTTTTCTTTGGTGCATAAAACTTCAGGGAAGAGCTTTACGTTTAACAACGTAACACACAAATATTTGATACTGAATAATTATTTTAAGTGGTAAGAAAATTAAAATGCTTCGGCCTGAGTGTTTATGATTTTCTTGAGAAAGTTGAAAGTAACTCTTAGAATACTTTCCAGACCTACTGTAGTATTCCGTGATCGCCGATCTTGACAACAGAAGGCAATATGCACGATGCATCACATCTCCTCTGCTGCGACAAAACTTTCACCGAATAATTGTTTGTCAATGAATCTTTTCCTACTGCATAAACCAACCAACTTCTTGATGTTTTAAACGCGCATAATGATATATACTTAACTGCAAAAAATTAGCTTTTAATCCAATTTGTAAAATGCGGACATTTATGAAGGAATCAAAAAGACATTCTTCATTAAATTGAGATTTCAAAGATATTTTGAAGTGTAAATTTATGTGGTCATGTGTAACTCGAAAATGAATTATCATTATTTTTTATAAAAAGTAATCATCTCGGATGCATAGACGCACGATGAAATGTAATTCCAAACTTAGCAACAAAATCATCCAAAGAGTTTTTCGGATCTATTGAGCAAATACATTCTAGGGTGTAAATAAAAGTAATGTCTTTATAATGGCTGAACTAATGGCGTAATGGTGAACTGTCTCTAGTCATCGAGACCTAAACACTTTCAAACGTTTAATACAATACGTAACATACAGGGCATTCGATGAAAATACGTACGCAATTAGTCGAAAGAGTTTCTATAAAGTGTGACAGTGAAAAAGAGGGATGAGGGAGTTGATGGAATAAGAACATTATTACAGCATTTTTGTGAGTGATATGTATTGACTTCAATGTATACGTGAAGTCTTTAGTTTTATAAACCACGATATTGATTACGTACACAGTATCGAATATGCCTCGTGAATTACGGTAATAAATATTCTGAACTACTTAAGTACAATTAGCATTATGAGTGAATTTAGCTAACCATTGATAAAACTAATGAAAAAAAATACTATATCAGATGAGATATGACAACCAAAGTAAGAGTTTAGTAGTTTAATCAAAACTCTACCTCGTGCGTAGTTCTTATTTATCTTCAGTCATATTCTGGTAAAAACTCTGACGATGTTCCTTTGAAGCTCACTTCTTTTGAAGAATTCATTTTAAAGTGAAAGTTGCATAGCTCCATACCATTCATTCATACGAAATGTTGAGAAAACATTGAGGCGTGAAGAACGCGTTCGTAAACGTGGTCAGAATGCATCAGAGAAGTAAAGAAAAGCTGAAGGTTTCGTGCGCAGTAAATCACATGAGGACTGAACCACCCGTTGGGATTCTTCATTGTTTACATACGCACAACATAAAGAGATAGTTATATCCAAAAATGTCCATCTACATTTTATATTTGATAATATTGCATTATTAATCATTTGGGACACAAGCTGTTGTAAAATTTACTACTTTGGACGGATACAGCAGCCGATTGGACGGATAGTTTGGTGACAGTGCAGGTGGACTTGAATGCATGTGCATTGTTGTACATTTTTCAACACGCCGTTCCTCACGTAGTCTTTATTTTTAATTGCAATAAAACACAATTATATACTACTAATGTTAGTTACTCGTAAGGTTGCGGAGCTTTTAGAAACAATGTGGTTTGGTAGCACCCCCTAGTTTTAATTCTAGAAGATAGCTTATTTTAACTATCCATATTCATTTCCACAAGATACTACCGAATTTCTCATTTCAGCTCTCAAGTCCATTTAAATCATTCTAAAAGATTTGTATCTTTGTTCAAAAGCTTGAAAAGTACACATGGAGCTTAATGAACGTGGTCCCTCGTGGTCTGTGTGCATAGGATGCAGAACTCTGGGCTGATGGTGAAGGTGTACTCCGCAGCCGTGCTGCTGCTGGACATCTTGGTGCTGCTGGTGCGCGTGATGGTGGCCCTCGGCGAGTCGCTATTCCGCCTCATCGTGCCGCCGCAGGAGAAGTCTGTTGTCGGAGAGGTCGTGCTGGTGAGTGCGTCACGCCGCCTTTGCCTTTCAAATACACTAAATCCTCAAGATATCGTACTTTTATGTTCGTTTTATGAAAGACTTTTTTTTTCTGCGCTAGCTTTTTGGACTTGCCACATTCTCTTGCCAGCTGTCATCTCTCTAAAATATATTTTGTGAAGTTTTCTCAATTTTTCTGCTTTCTGTAGATTCAAAATATTTCTTTTAGAATATTAGATAAAAAAGTAAAACCTCGTACTATATATAAATTTTCGTTAAAAAAATCGGAGCCGTTTTTGAGAAAAAATGTTTTAGCTCTAGTGTAAGTACGATATATGAAGCTCTTCTTCACAAGAATATTCTGTATTTTCAAAAACTTTCATTTGAATCACTTTAACTCAAACACAATAATGTATACAAATTGCTGGAAATTTGCATATTATGACGCGATATATATTTCAAAAACATTACATTTGTGAAAGAGCAACAGAATACAGCAGAATTAATTGTAAGTAAACTTCAATCTAGCACGTAGGACCGTACGAAACGTTTGAATACATTTGGAAGCAATTTTGAGAAAATGGCGTTTGAGCGTTTCTGAAAATGTGGAATTTTGAGTAAGTTGTCACAAAAACCTGTAGTTCGAGAATATTCTCAATTATTTAAAGCACACACACAACGCGATATTGTGAACAAATCGCCGCTAATGTAAATATTAACGACGTGAGAAACAAGTCAAAAGAATTACATTACTTTACTTTTGGAAAATTAATGATGGAGCAAAATGGCGTGTAAGTCATTTAGAGTACATTCAGCACTATTGCTGATGAAAGTTTAATAAAAAAAATAGGAGTCACTTTCGAGACTCTTGCCTACGTAACTTTTTTTTAATATTGCACATATACCGCGCAATGTTGCGCGAATGATACTGACTGGTTTCAAAAAATTAATAACCTCAATGTAAAACTAAATATGGAGAAAACATTTCATTTGAAGGAAAAATCTTTCTTCAATTTTGTAAGACTATGAAGAAGCCAAAAATAATTCTCGTCGAGTCTTCTGTTGTTGTTTTTTTCTTTTCTTTTTTTTATTTTTTTATTTTAGAAGGCAATCCGTATTTTCGAAACTTTTGCAGATTTATAAAGAAAAGTAAAGACCAAACAAGATTTAATTTTTTTAACAAGATTTAATTTTTTTAACAACAAGAAGTTTTCTTGTTCTTGCATGGGAAATGGAAAAGATGTGAATTCCATTTCAATCTAAATCTTTGTAGAGAAGGCATTTTTCTTTCAGAACAAAAATATCATAACTTGTCAATGAAAGTAATATTGAGAATACTTAATTTTGGCACATTTAGTTTGTGACCGGTTTTAGTAGCTAATTTTAGATAAGTTCTATTAAATTCTAGCCTCCTTATCAACCTATAAATTTCTCCACCACAACTCATTAGATGAAACTAAAAGAAAAAAGTTATTCATTTCAGGCTAGAATTATTATATTACTAGCTGAAGAAACCCGCGTTTCTGGGGTATTTGTCATAGGTAATACCCCAAGTGCTTTGGTCGATAAATACCCTGCATCCGAAGCGAGGAGAGGTTTTATCTGAAAATTTTCAAAGCGCGAGTGGTATTAGTACTGAGTCGGGTAGAATTCTTTCCTTTAAAGTCTTTACATTGGCGTTATTTTCAAAGGAAATTTCATTCTGCAATAAAAAGTAAACAAATACGCGAATTGCTTAGCAAACACGACGGACAACATTTCAATGTTGAATGTAGCCTCTAAATATCATTATTAGAATTGCCATAATCAGCGTTTATCAAAGCAGAAAATTGGATCTAGAATCTCTTGCATTCCGAGTTTGCAGAAGATGGCCTAACTGTTCATGCTGGTGGACATTCATTATCAGTAATGGGAGGATTTGTTTTATTTCAATAAATAATTTGCATTCCTTTAATTGAAGTATTAATAATTGCATCCAAGAACGGTTCAAGTGTTGATCTTAAATAAGAAATTTGACTTAAATTATAGTAGTGTCTCATTTTGCATGCCATCTGTTATTCTTGAAGTAACGTAGAATGCAGTTTACGTCTTCTGCATTCCAAGAAAATATTATCTATTATTCATTTGTGGAACGTGTTAGCAGCGTAGAACTAAGACTATTCTGAATGCTGACGAAAACTGGCATTACTGAAGTACTAATAGTACTAGTAATACTATAATAGTCATAACATGGTTTAACCACAAACTTCATAACTTTTATATAAGCCTTCAATATGAAGCAAACGTATGATGTGGGTTGAAAACTGCTTAATCAATTAAAGAGACCAGAAAATAAGTTTATAGCCCCTGCTTTGCCGAAATGAAATAAAACTTTCTGTTGGAAATAAATCCGACCATCGTCTTCGGAATCGAGTGGCTCCGTCCTCTGGGTTTGTCATCTTGCGTAATGTTCGTAACGTAACCTTTGTAACGTAAGAAGCAGTTTGTAGGCCTCGTCACCTTACATAAGTTTACCCTAGTGTTGATCTTAAAACAAGAAAAGTTGCTTCAGAGAAGTCAGTTACTGGATTTCCTCACAAGAGCTTCAAAAATCGTTATTCTGTTTAGTGGATGTTAGAGAACGGGATCCATAGTGGTTACAAACTCTCATTTCGCACATATATTAGGTTAATCGTCATAACCTGATGCGGCATTTCAAATTGTAAGCACGTGACAAAACTTTTGATACATCTAGTTATTCAAGTTTAATGCGTTTTAAAAGATCAGAAGGATAAACATGTCGAAATCGACTATAAATGTAAAATATCATAATTTTACCATTAACTGTATGTTAAGGTAAAATTCAATACAGTGCTATTTTTATATTAATTGCAATAAAGTTGTCATTTCTTGTTAATTTTATTACATTTTTTTTCAAAATAATTTTGCTTTCGGCTCCTACACATTCATCCCTGATAAATGATTTTTTCCCTTTCGCATCATTATTTTAAGTGGATTTCATGGATATGCCATGGAAGTTGGGGATCGAAATGTGCCCCTCTGGAGAATTCAAACTGCTTTGAACTTTATATATATGTGATATTTCTGATCAATATCAGGCGAATGCCGAACTTAACAAACGGGCCATGGACTGTGCCTTATCTTTGATCCTCTCGACCTCTTACACATACATTCACTATACTATTACACTTTGGGAACTGCAGTGGGAAAACCCAGACGTCTAGATCGGCGCTCGAGATCACGTTCCAGCGGAGGAGGAACCCCACTAGCTCTCGCGATAAAACATGTACTACACTTACGGAACGAATTACAATAACAGATGACGCGCCCGGAATCGCAAAATAAATCAAATTTAATCGATCCTCGCAGGAAGCGTCCTTCGGAGGAGCCTGCGTCTAGCCGCATGGGAAGGTACGTGGGAGGTGGGCTGCAGGGGCTCTGCCGCAGCGGACGCGAGCATCTCGGCTAACGGGCGGCCGCGCCGACCGGCGATGACCCAGTGTCTTACTTCGCGAGAGCGCTCAGCACCCCGCCCCGCCCCGGCGTCCCCGCTCCCTGCCGGCGCTCAGTGCACGGAATCGCTGGAATCCCCAAAACGGATATTGACGGGGCAAAAGAAGTAACACGCATCTTAAAATTGCCATTAAGCAGAAAAATTTTTAATCTGAGTGAAGCCGTATACTTGGCAGTTCATGATAGTGTTTCACTCTGAAAAAATTGATACTAGTAAACATATTCTATTTCCTACACATGTTTTTTAAGTAAAATGAAAATGATGTATTGTCTTTTTATTGCACACAGACTAGATGATTTGAAATAAGTAGTAAAAAAAGTTCTTTTTCGGAGTACGAATAAAGTGTTTCTCCACGAGATAAGTATAGGAGAAGCCTAGAATTTACCCAATCATTTCCACCCGAGTGGGAAACAAATTCCGGAGTTTTGAAACTTGGCAAGATTGTTTGTTGGTACCTACTGCATAATATACTAAAAATCCTGAAGTGTCGGGGTGAGCCGGGCCGAGAAGGAGTTTGATAGTGCGTTTTCGACGATATCTCCATAACTGTCCATCCTGCAACAAACTATGTTCCAAGCAAAATTAAAGAAGACCCAATTTCCTACAAAAAGTTCTATAAGATTTTGTTGCAAAATTAAGAATTTTAGTTTTAGGATAGAAAAATTCTTGATTTTTAATTACATTGCTAGTCTTTCCCGTAAACATTTTACGTTCAATGTACGGAAATAATATTTTTTTAAACATTCATCAACAAATTTGTTTTTGCATATTTTGCCCCCCAAAACCACGAACATTTAACATCTCGAAAAATCTTACTTTGTACATAGACTTGAGGGAATCAGAGGTCATTGTGGTTAGAGGTTACCTCTGATACGAAAACAAAATACATAGTTTATTTAAAAAGGATGGAGTATAAATATTGGCTAAAGGATTGTTGACACTATCAACAACCAAACCACGTAAAATTCTACAAATGGAATAATCACATTTACCGTGTACATTGAGGGACAGCTAAAACTATATTTTGAATACATTCTTGACTGAGCCGCGTCTCTGTCAAATGTGGTGACGTTTCGGCGATCTTGCTGTGGCCTTCTTCAGAGCTATACTACTGGCTATACAGGCGCCTGATATCACGCTATACTGCTGACTATACAGCAGTATAGCTTCGAAGAAGGCCACAGCAGTATGGCCGAAACAGCACAATTGACAGAAACGTGGCTCACCCTAGACAGCCAAGAATGTATAAGACTCCGGCCGCGGAAGGCTTCGAACGCATAGATTTAGAATAACTAATATCGCTCTCTCTCTCTCCCTCCCTCCCTCTCTCTCTCTCTCTCGCTCCCTCCCTCCCTCTCTCTCTCTCTCTCGCT